AAGACAGTGTTTACAGCAAAAAGACTGAAGGTAATGATTCTACTCACCAGAAAAATACAATATAAGCTGTAGTTATTCTGGTGACTATAGTGTCCCTTTAAGGCTAGGATGGCATTATGCCTATCCCACGCATGCTTAAACTCCTTCACTGTGTTAACCTCTACCACTTCAGCGGGAAGGCTATTCCATTCATCCACTGCCCTCTATGTAAAGTAATAATTCCTGATATTATTTTTAACCTTTGCCCCTCTAATTAAATAAGAATAAAACTTGGTTGCTGCTTTTAAGTGCTGCTTCAAAGTGTGTGCTTGGATATATTCTGGAGACAAACTGGTGGTAATCTGAGGTATGCAGTAGGTGAAAAATAAAATAAAAGTAAGATTTGATTTGTTTGATTTAAATTACTAACCTCATTAAAATGGCAGACTTAGTTCAGTGTAATATTTGTTTCATGTTCCACTTTTTGGAGATTTATATATTGTCTCATCTGTAGACAGTTTTCTATTTTGCAGCAGGAGATTGTATTTTTGAAGTCTGAGATTTGTAAATTATCCGTTAAACAAACTCAGGCTGAGACTGCTGCAAAACAACTGCCAAAGAGACAGCCTAGGAATGGCAGACGGATTACTGTAGGATCTGGTAGACTTAGAATCGTGGGTAAAAAGCATATTGCACAGTCTGTGGCTCTACATAATCCATTTTCAGCACTTTCAGAGTCTAGTAGTGTTGTGGAGACAGGCTCCAGCACCAAGTGTAATGCTGTTGTGGAGACAGGCTCAGGCACCAAGTGTAGTGGTGTTGTGGAGACAGGCGCAGGCACCAAGTGTAGTGGGGATTGTGGAAACAGGCTCAGGCACCAAGTGTAGTGGTGTTGTGGAGACAGGCTCGGGCACCAAGTGTAGTGGAGACAGGCTCAGGCACCAAGTTTGTGGAACCAACCAATGACAAAAAGGACAAGGTGAGGCCTGATAGAAAGCAGAGGTGTGGAGTTGGACAATAGCAGCCTTGTGAGATGTCTTCCTGGAGCTACTGCTTGCAGAGACAGGAGACATATTTTTAATATGGTTAAGCAAGCAAAGTAGGAAGGGGAATTGGCAGGGCCGTCTTTAATGCGGGGCAAACAGGGCAGCTGCCCCGGGCCCTGTCCCTGCTGGGGGGCCCGAGGTAACTGCCCTGTTTGCCCTCTGCCTGCAAACTATGGGGGCCCATTGGGTGGCCCATGCACTTAGGGCCACCCAGTGGGCCTGTGTCAGCAGGGGCCCGGTCGGGCACTGTGGCGCTTTAACAGCGCGACCAGGCCCTTGCTTTTCGGCAGCACTGGGAGGAAGTGACAGCCGTGCGTCACTTCCTCCCACAGAAACAGGAGCCGCGCGGGAGGAAGGAGGACCAGCTGTTCCAGAGGGGGACAGGCCGGGAGAGCTTAACTCCCAGTCACCCCAGCCAGCCCACTGAACCCCAGGGAAGCCACCCTCCAGAAAAAGGTAAGAAACTGGAGGGTGGTTATCAAATTTTGCATGAGTGTGTCAGTATGTGTGTATGTCTGTTAGTGTGCCAGTATGTCTGTCAGTGTATATGTATGTCTGTGTGTGTGAGAGTCTGTCAGTGTCTGTATGTGTGTTTCAGTATGTCTGTATATGTGTGTATGTCTGTCAGTGTGTCAGTATGTCTGTGTGTGAGTCTGTCAATGTCTGTGTGGTTCAGTATGTATGTATGTGTGTATGTGTGTTTCAGTATGGCTGTCTGTGTGTGTCAAAATGTCTGTATGTGTATTTGTCTGTCAGTGTCTGTGTGTATGTGTGTTTCAGTATGTCTGTCTGTCTGTCTGTGTGCCAGTATGTCTGTCAGTGTGCCAGAAAATCTGTGTGTGTGTGTGTGTGTGTCTGTCTGTGTGGTTCAGTATGTATTTGTGTATGTGTGTTTCAGTATGGCTGTCTGTGTGTTTCAGTATGTCTGTCTGTGTGTATGTGTGCCAGAATGTCTGTATGTCTGTCAGTATGTCTGTGTGAGTCTGTCAGTGTCCATGTGGTTCTGTATGTCTGTGTTTGTCAATATGTCTGTCAATGTCTGTGTGTATGTGTGTTTCAGTATGTCCGTCTGTCTGTGTGTATATGTGCCAGTATGTCTGTCAGTGCATCTGTATGTCAGTGTCTGTGTGTTCAGTATGTCTTTGTGTATGTGTGTTTCAGTATGACTGTCTGTGTCAGTACGTTTGTCAGAATGTGTCTCTGTATCTGTATGTTTTCCATTTGTGTGTGTATCTGTATGTGTCAGTGTTTGTATCTGTATATCTGCATGTGTTTTAGGTTGTGTATCTGTGTGTCTGGATGTGTGTCAGTGTGTGTGTGTATCTATATGTAGTCAATGGGAGTACCTTTGTATCTGCATGTATGTCAGTGTTTATATCAGTGTGTATGTCTATGTGTGTGTCAGTGTATCTATATGTAGTCTGTGTGTATCTGTATGTTCTTGTGTGTATCTACATGTGGTCAGTGTGTATCTGCATGTGTGTCAGGTAGTGTATTTGTGTGTATCTATATATAGTCAGGGGGCCCAAGTAAATGCTTGCCCAGGGTCCAATCAAAATTAAAGACGGCCCTGGGAATTGGATGTACTTGTCCATCTTGGGACAAATTACTTGGCTTGCATTGAGGTTTCAGAGGTAAAGGAAGTTTTTTGTGTTTTTGCAAATGATATACGGCAGGTTGCTTCCACACTGTCATTCTCTGAAGTTCTGCCTGTGCATAACACTCAGAACGACAGGTGGATGCGTGTTAGGGACTTTAACTTGTGGCTTGGTGAATGTGTTGGGAGCAAGGATTTGGCTTCATTTTTCAATGTAGCTCTATTTGGTGCAGAATTAGTGGCAGTGTAGGGAGGCAGGGCTGCAGGGCTGCAGGGAGCCTCACTGGGGTTAAGACATTTGAAGTGTGTACAGCGTGGGTTAGAGCCAGATTCAGAGAGAGGGTGAGCATGTATTGTATGTATGTATTGTGTGCAATGGCTCAGTGTTTATCTGTATGTGTGTATATGTACATGCATGTCTATTTGTGCATGCGTGTGTATATGTGCATATGTGTAGGTGTGTGTATCTATGCATGTGTGTATATCAGTGTATCTGTTCTTGTGAGTCATTCTGTGTGTGTCAGTGTGTATCTGTGTGTGGCATCTGTGCATGACAGCATACTTTTGTGTATCTTTGTGTGGCACTGTCTGTGTATATATGTGAACACATGCCTGCATGCGAGCATCAACATCACACACAAACACATCATTGCATTAAAACAATACCACATGCAAACACAACTCTGCATTGAGATGCCAACTCTGTAAAAAACACATCCCTGCATTCAAACGCCAACACTAAACACACATATACACCCCTGCATTCTAACATTAGCTATATACCCAGATACACAAACATTCACAAACACATACTCCATACAAAAACACACAGGTACTGCATAGACATATAACCCTACAAGGATGGGCAAATAGTAGGTTATTAGAGTTGTAGTGCAGTTGAGATCTGTCTCTTTCTCACCCCTGCTCTAGTGGGGAAAGGGGGAGGGGCAAGAAATGTATTTGATCCATGGACCTCTGATTTTGCTACTGCATCTTTTTCTATACCTATTTGCAGTATAATTTAGTAAAGGATTACTATAGTATACATAATAAACATTTACAAAAAAATTAGGACAATGTATTAAACATTAATACATCAATATAAATATTGCTACTTTTCCTGTAGCAATATAAGTACATTTTTGGAAATTACAATCGGAGATTGTATAAGTACAACTGTACTTCCAAGAAAAATACCTGTACTGATGCCATTCTTTGCTAAGTAATTTAATATAATGTTTTAATGTATTTTTATTTTGGCAAGATAACTAATTTCTGGACAAAACATAATTTGTGATGTCAGGATTTGAACATTTAAAACTGAATTTTTAAGACAATTGTATAAACCTCCTGCCACCTATCAGTTGTTTTAGAACTAAGGTAACTGGATAGTCAAATAAAATAACTGTGAATATGTAATTAAATGAAGAGTGATTTAGCTGTAATTCTAATTTTTTTCTAGACATTTAATCAGTGGTTTACCTTGTCCCAGCATGCTCTTCTAAAGATGTCAAGGTTTGTATAAACTATTGAAAAAAAAATACCCAAAAAACCCCAAAACAAGTAAGACATGAATGTTAAACAAGTCAATTATGTATAATAAAATACGTGATAAAAATGTTGGTTTCATTGAGATATTAAGACCAGAAAAACTGAATATATATCAACACCTGGAAAATGAGTGTGTCTTTTGGCATAAATCCTACAACTCGAGCTGTAATTAATTTTCCAGTTGTACTCTAACTCATATTAAAAATAACCCATATTTAGAGCTCATTGCCCTATTCATTGCCCGTTGCTATTCATATTCTCTTAGGTAAGCAGTGTTTTTATATTTCCACAAGATGCACAGCAGTTTAGTGAAGAGACATTGATGTAAAAGGCATTTTCATGTAATATTTCTATTTTTAGATCCTAAATTTGATTAAGATTGCTTCAATTCACGGAACTTCAAGTCAACCAAATGTCACCCCCCACAGGTAATAGAGAGCATTCAACTGGATGGTAGATATAACCAGGGCCGGCGCGTCCATAAGGCGGCACAGGCGGCCGCCTTAGGGCGCACCGGTTTCGGGGGCGCAATATTTCAGTGACCGACAGGAGGGAAGCTCTCCCTCCTGCCAGGCCACCATCTCGACCCCCGGCGCAGCGTGCGGCAGTGCTGTGATCAGACGCGGCGAGGGAGCTCTAACCTCTCTGCTCTGCTCCCTCGCGCGCGCTGTCTGCTGATGCCGCAGGAGCCGGAATATGACGTCATATTCCGGCTCCCGCGGTATCAGAAGGCAGCCGCGAGGGAGCAGAGCAGAGAGGTTAGAGCTCCCTCGCCGCGTCTGATCACAGCACTGCCGCACGCCTCCCAACAGCCCCACTGGACCCCAGGGAATGATTCATCATCCACACCAGCTCTCCAGGTAGGGAGGCTGGGTGGAAAATGTTTATTTATTAAAATAATTAGTGAGTGTGTCTGTGAGTGTATGTGTGTCTGTGAGTGATTGTATGAGTGTGTATGTGTGTCTGAGTGCTTGTATGAGTACTGCATGTGAGTGTATGAGTGTGGCAGTGTATGTGTGTCTGTCAGTGTGTGTTTGTGAGTGTCTGTCAAATCAGTGAGAGTATCTTTGTCATTGAGTCTGTGTGTGAGTATCAGTGTGTCTGTCAATGAATGAGTGTCTGTCTGTGTGTGAGTGTCTGTGTGTGACTGTGTGTGTATGTGTGTCTGTGTGTGAGTGTATGTGTGACTGTGTGCCTGTGAGTGACTGTGATTGAGTGTGTGTCTGTGTGCGAGTGTATGTGTGCATGAGTATGTGTGTCTGTGAGTGTGTGTGCATGAGTGTATGTGTGTGTCTGTGAGTGATTGTATGAGTACTGCATGTGAGTGTATGAGTGTGGCAGTGTATGTGTGTCTGTCAGTGTGTGTTTGTGAGTGTGTCAAATCAGTGAGAGTATCTTTGTCATTGAGTCTGTGTGTGAGTATCAGTGTGTCTGTCAATGAATGAGTGTGTCTGTCTGTGTGTGAGTGTCTGTGTCTGTGTGTGTGTGTGTGTGTGTGTATGTGTGTCTGTGTGTGAGTGTATGTGTGCCTGTGAGTGACTGTGATTGAGTGTGTGTCTGTGTGCGAGTGTATGTGTGCATGAGTATGTGTGTCTGTGAGTGTGTGCATGAGTGTATGTGTGTGTCTGTGTGTGATTGTATGAGTACTGCATGTGAGTGTATGAGTGTGGCAGTGTATGTGTGTCTGTCAGTGTGTGTTTGTGAGTGTCTGTCAAATCAGTGAGAGTATCTTTGTCATTGAGTCTGTGTGTGAGTATCAGTATGTCTGTCAATTAATGAGTGTGTGTCAGATCAGTGAGTCTGTGTGTTTGTCATTGAGTGTGTGTGACTGTCAGTGTGTATAGACCACTGAGTGTTGCGTGGCGGAGCGCAGTACAGGAGCTTCTGTTTCCTGTACCCGGCCAGACTGACCGGAGGTGCTCACTGAGAGAGCACTCCCTGTCAGTCTGGCCAGGTACAGAAAATTGAAGCTCCTGTAGGGGATATCCTCCACTCGGCAACGCTACAAGAGAGGTAGGAGGCACACCAGGAAGGGGAGTGCGACCACTAAAGGGGTGGGGGGTGCACCAAGGGACAGGGAGGGGAGGGGAGAGAAACACCAAGGGACAGGAAAAAGAGGGGAGAGCTTAGAAGAACACTAAGGGACAGGGAAGGGAGGGGACCACTAATGGATGGGGAGAGGGGCTGGTTAAGAGGCACATAGGTGAAGATGTTATTTGGGGGGGTGGAAAGATACATCTTCGCCTATGTACCCAAAAATCTTTGCACCGGCCCTGGATATAACTTTATTCACAATTACAGTTGTTCTCCATTCACCAGGTGATATTTCTGAGTAATTGTTAAAGCTGGCAGGTAACTTACACACTTTAAAGCACTCCTCTATATGCTCCTGAGACCCAGCCCATTAACGTATGTCCTCTGTACTGTATTACATTCACATGCATCTCCTTTTATTCTTTTGAGCTACTCTATCAATCCCTGCTGTATTGTAAAGAGGACATCCTGGGCTTTCCAGTGATATGTCATGTGATAGGCTGGAACATTGGGAACTTCCTCTTCCTTTTCATCAAAAATGGAAAGAAATTGGAAGATTTTTTTTCCTTGGTTCCCAGGAGGCTATATATAACACTCAGTAATGTATATGGTGCTCAATCTTCATATAAGGTGAAATAATACGTTTTGTTTTCTTTTCTGTTCTTTCCTCTCTATTGATAAGTATAGATATTGTATTCATACTGTTTAGCGCACCCTCCACATTCTTGTTGGCTGGTAGGAGCTGGCTCTCCCAATCTGCTATCCCCTCCTCTCTGCTCTCTCTCACTCCCGAGCATCTCTGTGTTATCTGGGAGGAAGTTACCCGGCTCTCACTTCCTCCCAGGCTGCCATTACATTATTAAAGGGCCCTAACTGCATTGGCCACCCGATGGGCCCCCTCAGCATGTAGGCTCCGGTGCAGCTGTTTTGAGGGACTACAAGGAGTGATGTTGGTAATCATTTGAAGTGGTCAGTTTCAGATTTATAATTACTGTTGTGTTAGGCTAGTTACACCCTCGGCACACGTGACAGACTGAGAAATGGAAATTCTGGGCAAAATCTACATCTGTCATTAGCACGACCTCAGTCCTAAGCTGCCTACGACTAATTACAGATCCTACAAAAGACCACACCCGACAAAGCAAGTGGTCTTTACATTGAAGTTGTTGTTCATACTTGAAAGACTTCAGATCTGGCTCCTGAAACAACCTTTGACTTACCTGCGTCGCAGATGCGCCTCTAGCGGCTGTCCGGAAGACAGCCACTAGAGGCTGGATTAACCCCAAATGTAAACATAGCAGTTTCTCTGAAACTGTTATGTTTACATCTGAAGGGTTAAAACCTGATGGACCTGGCACCCAGACCACTTCATTGAGCTGAAGTGGTCTTTGTGGCTATAATATCCCTTTAATCGTTTTGGGTAGTATTACAAATCAGAAGAAATAATTATCGGGAAGGATAATTGGCTCAGGAAATGAGTTTATTTTCTCAATAGTTTAGTTTAAAACATCCTGCATGATATATCGACTTTGTTATTCTAAATCCAAAGTTCCAAGAGAGCAAAACAGGAAAGAAATAGAGCTTACACAGTCTTTCTAGGGAAAACTGTATGACTTTAGCTAACTAGAAGAGGTTCTTTTGATCATTCAGAATTATTAACATTAGAGAAACCAATAGTTTACTTCTATCAAGCAGCTTCCTTCTGGAATGTCCTCCCAGTGACACATACAACAATGAAATAATATATGGAGGGACACATATAAATGGGAAAAGAATAGAAAGCATTAACAATATATCGAGTTATATTGTTTAGGCTCAATTGAGACCCTCCTTTAAATACAATAACTCACTAGACAGAGTGGTGCTATAAAATCTTTATTGCAATTAGATTTGCAGACAAAAAGTACCATGATGGAAATCATATAGTTTAACTGAGAAATCAATAAATAATATATATATAGAGAGAGTCATTTTGTTTAAAAATGCATTACATGAAAAAACCACCAATGATAAAACTCACAACAAAAAAGAACACCAAACATTGCAAACAGCATATATAAATCAATAAAAATACACCAGACTAGTTGGACCTAGGCATGAACCTAGGGCGAGCTGGTCTGATTGATTATATTGATATTAATAAAAGGAGATATTAATGAAATTCCTGGGAGCTCAAAAGACCCATAAAGTCTTAGGAGGGAATTGAACACTAAAAAGGAAAAGAAAAAAAACAAAAACTTAAAACATGGCAGTACAGACTGTACAGGTAAAGTACATACTCACTGACAATTCAGGGTAGAATATTCCAGAGTTTAGAAACCCTGAATCTAAATGAAGCAATACAAGAATTGGATAATGAGAGAGAAACAAAATATAGTTAAAACTAAATATAGCTAAAGTGGCACCTTAACAATTATTAATTTTATAAATTTTATTGAAGCACCGGAAAATTGATCTTAATAGGCAAAATGAGAACACATAGGGTTAGGTAGTATAAGGCATTTCATACTTAGGCACTTGTTCACAGACTTGTTTTAGACCTAAATCTGATGGGCCTGATAATATATACTTAGTAGTGTGAGACCTCCTGATCATCTGTAGAAAACAGTATAAAACACAAACATAGTATAATACTGTTTAACAATACAATTTGATCAATGGCAGAGGTAATGGATCACTCACACTTTTCAGAGCCTTAGGAAGCAGTTGTGTAATCGGCTACAGCACACCCGGAAGAGAAACTTTGATCATTCTACAAAATGCCATCTTCATATTGGGTGTAATTAGTCTATTTAATGAAAGTTCATTAACAATATAAATGGACTGGTAAAAGACTGAAATCAGTAAAACACATATAAAATATAACAACATAAGTTAGGAGAACATATAAATATAAAATATGAAGCATATATATCACACGCAAGTGTATAATAAGAGGAGAACAGATCTTAAAAATATATATGTTTAGATCTGCTAAAAAAAAATTATTAAAAAGAATAAAATAATAAAGGACTAAGAGGATATAAATATAATGAACATAAAATAAGATTAAGAAATCTAAAATAATCTAAAAGGGTATAAATATACTATTGAATGAGTGCTGACATCTCAAAGTCCACATTGAGCCCACTAAGAAACAAGGCGTCTAAATTAAATATCCACCTCATCTCACAGCGGCCCAACGCAGACTCGAGATTGCCGCCTGTCCAGTGATTTTTAACCAGCTGGATACCAAAAAACTGGAGTCCAGTAGGATCTCCCCCATGGGAATTTTAAAAATGAAGGGATACATTGTGATTTAAAAAGCCTCTCCTAATATTATAAATATGCTCACGTATCCTTGTTTTTAAAAACCTTGATGTCTTACCAACATATTGTAATCCACAAGGACACATGAGCAAATACACCACAGTTTTGGAGTGACATGTAATCAACAAATCTATATTACATAATTTTGATCCTATCCAAGACTTGAAGGTATCTATTTTTTTATTATTCTTATCTTTCCTATTTCTGCATCCCATGCAGTCACCACAATAATAGAACCCTTTATCTCTATATGAATTAAAAAAATTATTAGTATTGGTTACATTAACACAGCTAGAGGTAAGTATCTGTCTCAGATGTCTTGCTCCACTAAATACTTCTTTGGGTTTGTTCTCTAAAAATTGTATAATTTCTCGGTCCTGTTGTAAAATATGCCAATTTTTCTTCAGGATATTGTTTAATTGTATTTGATCTTTACTCTTATTAAAGATTAAAGGTATTGTTTTATTTTCTTCTTTATTGTTTTTTGACTTATATATAAGTAGAGATTCCCTATCTAGTTCCCATACTTTTTTAAATTTCTTCATCTAACCAATCTATATGATAACCATTATCTAGAAGCTGATTTGTTTTTAAATTTCAGATGGATTGTTAAATGAGTAAAGATCTTTACAGTTTTGTCTTAACCGGAGAATCTGGCCCCTAGGGATGTTTTCCATCCATGGTTGAAAGTGACAGATCGCCTTGTAGATGTAACTATTTACATCCACTTTCTTAAAAAAAGTTTTGATATTATCTTTTATATAGATTTCCAGATCTAAAACGTTAATTCTTTCTCTACTTTGTGTTAAAAGGATATTCCA